ACTCCGTGCCTTCCTCCCTCAGACCCAGCCAAAGTCTCCATTACATGAACAAGACCAAACAGACAATGATGTTCCAGCATTTATTTTCTCTCGCCCAACACCTGAGAAGATAACTGACGACTCAGAAATGCAAATTGATCAAACAAGTAGTTCTGAACCTCTCGCTGAAAGTGAAGCGAATTTGCAACAATAAATATTTCGACTTCAAGCACAACCCAATCTCGTAAGTTCCCCTCACATTCATTTACTGACCTTTCTATATGTTCCCTTAATTTCCGAAGTTTAACAAAACCATCACAACCAGAAGTTAGCAGCAGCTTTATTCGATACTTGAAAACTAAACAACTAGACATCCTATACTCCAAGAAACACATGCCAGCAACATTACTATACAACAACAACTCGACTTCCTTTTCAAACCGACTTTCTCCATATGGACTCAGCACTGTGGATAATTAGCAACAATCCTAATATCCAAATCACACCATACTTGATTACCATAGACCAAAGGGTCATCATATGTAATATTACACACGCTTCTAACCTTTTTCCTCCATTCCTTTTAGCCAACATTTATGCTCCAGCGACAAAACGCCTAAGACAGTTCTTTTACAACGATCTGATGACTATGCAACCATTTTCAGATTTCTTTGATCCCCTCTCCAGTCCTTTACCATCAGAGGATGGCGATACATCCACACCTTCCCTCATCATTGTAGGCGACTTCAACTACGACTTTCACTCATATTCTACCCGCAACCTTCCTGCCAAAGAGTCTCCTGTCAATTCATCCAGCATTCTTTCTCAATGGAAATGGCACTATTTGCTATCCACCTACTTTACAGAATGCACTCATGCGCTTCAACACGATCAACGAATTCCCACCTTTCGTCGTGGAGAGTCGGATACATCCACCATTGACTACATATTTGCTTCACCTTTCTTTGCTGACAACATTCTTTCTCATGACATTGAGTTTCTCTCTCCAAGATGGACCGATCATGCTCTTCTCTCAGCTACTTTCCGCTTTGCACAAAACAAACAAGGTCGAGGTCTGTGGCGTGCTCACCCTAGTCTGGCCAAGAACTCTTACTTCATCAAAGCCTTGAATTCTGCATTGGATGATTATCATTCAATGATAGAAACCTTTTCTGAAGAGTCATGCCCCACAACACAACAACAATGGGATGTGATCAAACAGATCACAAAAACTATTGCAAAAAAGATTGGCAAACAACAAGCAGCATGGAGAGTTCGTCTGATGAAGCGTCTTCAACGCAAGCGCAACAAGTATTTCAAAGAATACGGTACAGCTCGCATTCCTCATCCACTCCTTTCAAACGTTGAAAAGAAAATTGCAATGGTACAAGAGGACTATGTCAACAATTTTGCTCTTCGTGCTGGTCGACACTGGAGAGAAAATGGTGAAACTTCAGCAGGTTACCTCAAGAGAACTATTGAATCCAAATCAGCTAAGAAATCCATGCCGCCACTCATTCATCCCATCATCGGCAACCTCTGTCAATCGACCGAAGAAATGGAAGATGCGGTCTCAGCTTTTTACGGTCAGCTTTACTGCCCTGACCAGGTAAGTATGAAACATATTGCAGATCTCACTAGCATAATTCCTTCTAGTGACAGCATTCCAGATGTAATGCATAATCGATTATGTGCTCCCATCACCCTACAAGAACTTCAAGAAGGTGCGGCTAGAACCCCAAGTCAAAGCAGTCCTGGTATAGATGGGTTACCGTACGAACTACTTTCCATTTTATTGCAGCATCCACTTACAGGCGCTTTGGCCGTAAAGGTATACAATGATGCACTCACCTCCTCTAGATTTCCAAAGTCTTGGTTACAAACTTGTATGATTCTACTACCAAAAAAGGGCAATCTCTCTTCGCTAACAAACTGGCGACCCATTTCACTCATTAACGCAGATGCCAAAACTTTCACTCGATTAATCAATGCTCGACTTATGCCTTACCTCAACAAATATATTTCATCACACCAACCCGGATTTATGCCTGGTAGATTCATCGCAGAAAATGGTCAGATCCTACAATCGATACAAGCTATTGTACACCATGTTAATTCCAACTCTATTGCCCTTCTTCTCGACCAAGAGAAAGCTTATGATAGGGTTCATCCTACTTATTTGACTCAAGTTATGCATGCATTTAACATACCCCATACTTTCATTGAATCCATCACATCTCTTTTCTTCTCTACTGACATTAGTTTCAATATCAATGGTCATATCTCTTCCACAACAGTCCAACAACATAGAGGTCTCCGACAAGGAGATCCACTCAGTCCTTTATTATTCAACATTGCTTTCGACCCATTCCTTCGTTCTATTCAACAAAATCCTAATATTCAAGGTTTTAACTTTCAACTAGAAACCAAAAACCATCATCCGCCATCCTCCGTATCACCAAATGACCTCTCACTTTCCTTTCAACAACTACTAGACAATCCCTTATCTCCACCCTTCTCAGCACCACCTGTCAAAGTTCTCGCCTATGCCGATGATACACTCGTTTTGCTTCATAATCACCAAGACCTTCTATGCCTTCAACAATTAATTCACAATTACATGCTAGCCTCCAATGCTAAACTCAACTTCAACAAAACTACAGCCATTTCGCTGTCAGGTAAACCTAATCCAAGATGGAAGTACTTTTTAGTTTCACAGAACATTACAACTTGGCATGACAACACCTCGCCCGAAGCAGTTATTTATCTTGGTTATCCAATTTACTCCAGTCCCCATCAACGAAACTCACATATCGACAAATTATTCCGAACCATCCAGCAAGCATGTCTCATACACAGCACTAGAAATTTATCTGTTAGAGGCAGAGCTACTGTCCTCAATTCACTCATTCTATCACGACTATGGCATGTACTTCGCCTGCTTCCTCTCAACAAAACACAACAAAACACATTGCAACGCCTCATCATTTCCTTCATCAACAGTCGCCGCTTTAGTACCATTCCTTTCTCAACACTCATTTTACCTCGTTCTCAAGGTGGACTTAGCGTCATTGATCCTCATCTACAACAGAGAGCTCTTCAATGGCGATGGGTCTACCCTTTATTAGTTCCTCACTCTTTTGCTATTTCTTTACCTTCGCTTCCTTATCTCCAATTTACCCTCTCTTTCTTCCTTTGTTCCCCACAATACCCTACTTACCACTGGCCTTTGTTATTCCCCTTTATACGAAAAAAGCTTTCTATTGACATTCCTTACTTCAACCGTATTTTCTTAGCTATAGATTATCTACCCCACAACTTCTCCAATTGTCATGTCCCCCTTCACGTTTGCCTTCGCATTCCACTTCCTGAACTTCTACATTCTATCTATCCTTCTCCACCTCCATCCAACCCTCCTATTTCTAAAAATGAATACTTCAAACACAATCCCAGTATGCTAGCCTTAACAGGTAATCACATTTTTGTTTTTGATTCTTCTAGTGAATGCCTTCGGTTTCGCTCTCGGCAAGAAGTCCCTCGTTTTGAATCGGCCACCTACCGCGCTTTACTACACTTTCGTCAAAAAAAGCTCTTCTTCAATCCCTTTGTCCTGTCACTCTTTTCTCCTGCTCCTCGTGTTTCTTCCTTTTCTATTCTTCCTTCAACCTCTCATATTAGTCCCACTGATTTACAGACATTCATTTCAGCCCTTACATACTCTCAATTCCCCATTACATCTTCCACTCATTCTTATCGTAAATTATGCCATAGCTCCTCCCCTCCTATACCGCCTGATCCCCGCCTATCGCCTAACTGGAAACGCTTTTGGTCTCTCAAGATCCCTCTCCCTGCTCGCAATGTCCTCTACAGGATGCTTCACAACAAAGTCAACAACCGTTTTCACCTACATCGTCTTATGCCCCATACAGTTCCTAATAACTTTTGTATCCACTGTCCTCAAATCTCATTACTTCCATTGATACCCTTGATCACTTTTATTTCCTCTGCCCTACCAAGTATGATGTTTGGTCTCATGTCTTCTCCAAGTACATCAATCCCAACATCCGTGCACCTTCGGTCAATCTCCTACGTCAAGTCCTCCTCCTTCGGGTTGTTATCCCTCGTGTTTCTCTCCTCCATTTTCCTTCCTTAAGTACCTTCCAAATCTTTGCATGCACTGCTCTAGCCCTCTGGCAAGCTCACTGGCAATCTGTTTTTTCTGAAAACCCATTCCTCTCCAAAACTATAACCAAGACAGTTTTCCGCTTAGCAAATAAGCTGCATGATGAATCCCGCCTTGATTATGAACCGTAAATTCTCTCCTCCGCTTTCCTTTCCAGTTCCTCTCTCACTACTCATGATGTTCTCTCCATTTCAAGTATCTATCAAGCTCTCTTAAACTCTTATTCTTTTCTCAATTTCTTCTACCATAGGCTCATTTCCCTTTCCTTAGTCTAGTTCTTATAATACCACAGTCTTTTCTTCCACTCTTTTGACGTCTGAAGGACTTAAAATAAAATTGGAGCAAGTCTCCCTTACAAAAAAAAAAGTTTTGGTCATTTTTTACAAATCGCTTTTTTCTGTCCAAATCAACTTCAAAAGTACCATTTATGTTAGTAGACATGGTTTGTAGGTATGTAAAGCATTTATGCGTGTATGGAAAGGCTTTTCAATAGCTTTATATTGTCTAGTTTCCATGCCTATTTTTATTTGACGTAGACTGATGTGCTTTCTGGAATTGTATTTTGAGTCATCAAACCGACCAATCCGACTCTGCAAATATCACTTTTAAGTGTGTTAAACTAGTTGAATGCACTCTATATTTCAATTCTCTCATACACTGTCATAAAGACTGCTGTAACTCAGGCCATAACAGACAGAACAGTATTCTTCATGATGATCATTATCCAAAATCACTACTTGTCCATTTCTAATTTAAGACAAAGATCTTTTTTAGACAACAAAATGGTAACTTAACAAAAGAAAGCAATGCTTCATTCTTTTCTTTAGAATAAAAAGGACTTGTTGGTGAGCTCTAAATTATTATTCTCATCAGGATAGCTTTTATTATTATCGCCTCAAGTCTGTTGGTTTCATTCTAATTGTTTTCTAATGGCAAAAAAGTCAATTTAGGAAATAAATTAAGAAAAAAAAAAGAACTATGGGTTTGCTTCATCCCATCACAGTTCAGTCTCTTCCTATCCTTAAGCTGATAAAACCAGCAATTCCAGCCATAACAGCACCTATGCGCAAAATAACACCAATGGCATCCGCGGATTCTTCACTACTTTCTAAAATACGAAACAAGATACTGCTGAAAAAGGTCACCAAGAATTGAGGCAGCACAATATACATGTTATGAATGCCTAGTAATACGCCTGCTGCTGGTGGATGATCCGTAGACTCTTGTGTCGTTGTACTTCCTTCTTCTTCATGGTTAGATGGGGTTTGATCGGGATATTTTATACCTAACATTTCAATCTCTTCTTCTTCTTCTTCGTCTATAGCGACAGGATGATAGATGGCGGGTTCTGTGCCCACCATACCTACTAAACTTGTTCTTGAAGCCATCATACTGACATGATAGTTGAATTCTGCTGACTCCTGTCCTCCCTTGAACGCCCTTGACTCTTGTTCTGAAATGTATTCACCCAGTAACGAAAAGGGCGCCCACATAGAAATAGCCCAACTGATACCACACAATCCAATGACCACAGCAGCAGCTGTCACATCGGTCACCAGTAAAGTCGATAGCATACAGATACAGAAAACAAACTGACTGATAGTCCATGCTCTTGGTAATGTCAAAAACGAGAGCTTGATAGAGTTCAAACAGGACAGCCTGAGTTCTTTACCGCCCCACCATGGTATTGTATAGGGTTCTGTATCATGCCGTCGAGAAGGCATGACGATCAATGGTAACACAAACGAAGAAGACAGAGACACAAGTGAGTATACCAAGAAAGCAAAAGATCCCGCTCTTGTTGCTTGGCCCACTGAATCATGCACGATGCCTGTATCTGGATTGGATGCTGTATAGATTTCAGCCACCCAGGTCGTAGAATAGAACAAAAATGGAAACCATCCAATCCAAGCAAAAAACTGAACATTACATATGCGTTGAATGGGCTTAGGTAGATGCCAAATGTGACGAAATATATCTGAAAACAAAGCAAAAGGAGACTGATTGCTTTTGGATCTACAGAGAGTAAATAAGTAAGTAAGTAGCGACCTTAAAGTGATGTTGTGTTTACCTATTGGTATCCAATACTTTTTCTTTGACAGCATAACATGTCACAGCATCACATCCTAGTAAAACAAACGTAGCAAATACACAAAGTACTTTTAGCTGCGTATTGCCAAAGAAAGGAAACACTTTGACAAGGTTTGCATATCCCATGAAATAGCCAGCTACATTACCCAGCCCAACCATACGACCAGCCCATGCTGTACCATCTTCTTGTCGAGAAGGTGGTAATGAATCAACAATCAATGCTCTACAAGAGGCTTGTACTTTGATGCCATGTCAATGGTTCCTGCTTAAATGCAATCACTTACCGCAATTCACACTGAAATCCAAAATATAGATCGAAGTAATAGCAACAATGATAGACACTGTTTTAAACTAATATAGAAAGAGAGAGAGTCAAGACATGTTCTTCTTTTGGTCTACTTACTGCTTCTTCTCCTTCTTCTTGTCGTGTAAAGAACCAAGTGATTTCCCTTGTCCATCCAATCACCAATAAACTCAATACAACCACAATACTTCCTCCTAACAAAAATGGACGTCGTCTACCCCATTTTGATCGACACCCATCAGAAATAACACCCACCACTGGTTGCATAACTAAACCTATACCCCTTTTGAATAAAAGCATGTTCCCCCTTTTTATTCTTTAATTACCTGATAATGGACCTGCAATCCATACAAGTGACATGTATGATTTTGATAAACCCAAAGAAAGTAAATAAGGTGTGCCTATTCTCAATATTACCATTTTTGTCTTTTTTTTTTTAAAAAAAAAAAACTCTGTTTGTATCTTTACCATAGGCCATTTCTACAGTCCCTAAAAAGAAAGGATGAGGATGAGATCAAATAGATTTCTCTCTTTTTTATTTTATCTTACAAGTAAATTGAAGTCTATTAGGTTACAATGTAAATATGAGTGATGCATGAATTTAAATCTATTTCTTACCCAGCTAAACACAAAGTTAAAAAGATAACTTGAAGCGTGTTATTAGGTCCTCTAATCAAAGACGCTTGTTGAGAAGTAGAGGGTAAAATGGGTTCTTCTTGCTCATCTTGGTATACATTACTTGGTGGGTCAAACAAATGACGCTCGTCATAGGTATCATTGATGTGTGCCATAGAAAATAAACAATTAAGAAAAAAACGAAAAATAAAAAAAAGTAGCGTTGAAACCTATTATGTTTGTTGGTTATGACGTCGTGATCAGTTTATTATTATTATGACGATCAAATCATGCCAAATCCTTCTGCATTACTGATACTTGTCAAGAGTCTTTCTTTTAGCTTTTCTTTACTGCTATATTCGCATAATAACAATACGTTATAACATGTATGGGACGTAGGCAATCTAATAAAGTCAATGAATATCGTAGATATATATATATATATGTTATTTACCTGTCTGAATCACCACCATTTTTAGCAATTACAAACTGAAGTTTACTGAGTCCTCCTATAGGTGACTAAACCCAGCATTATTGTTTTTTATATTATTATAGTCTATACTTTACCCTATCTGAACCAGTAGCAAAAAACAAAAGCTTCTTTTTCTCTTCATAACTAAACGAATGAACAATTTCCCAAAAATACCTAGCCAAACATAAATACATGACTCAAGATATATTTACACATACTTTATAATATCAGATTCTCTTGTCCAACCACCGTCATAAACAGTAGAAGCTTCTAGAGCATCAAAATCCAAGTCAGAACTACCACAGATCAACTGTTCTACTTCTTCAGGTCGAAATATCTTGATGGCACTATCTTGACACACTAACTGAAATCCTTCTTTAAAGGCATTGAACTGTTTATCAATCGCATGCGTCAATACAAATTGAGCATAGAGATCAACAAATTCTGCCTTGTTTTGGTTGGACAGTTGAATACTGGATCCAAATGGCTTTAAATCGCATGTATAGACATGACCAAAGGATTGTACATCCACTTGGAAATGACGATCATATTCGGATTCAATGTCACCTTCAAAGGCCAATAAACGCTCTAATCCTCTACCAAGACTCTACAAAATTAACCAAGCCCATCATCACAATAACTACTTACTGGATCCAATTGTTTTAGGTCAGGCAGTCCAATCTCGACATGCATCAGTTTCTTATACAAAGCTAGAGGAAAATGAAGGTCCAGAATGACACTGTTATAGACAGCTAGTCCAATCAATAGACCCATAAGTTTGTATTCTCGAATGTTAATCTCGTCCAGAACAGGATTGGGTGTAAACCAACAGAGTCTTGATTCTTCATTGAATGTAAACATGCCATATTTGGGATCAAACACTTCTCGTACAATTAACTGAAAAAACTCTTTTTGAACACCTCCTTCATCTACACCTTCTTCACCCACAAACTGGACTCGAAGTTGTTTCTTTAAATCATGAATTGACTTTTCTTCTAACTATAAGGGGGACCATGTCAGTTCATGTTGTCCATCATTGAGGGGGGGTTACCTGAAGTAATGTATCTGATATAATATGATCGCGACGTATTTCAAGTACAAGATAAGGACTATTCACACCTAATAGTTACCCTTCAGTCCATGTATCATCCTTTTTTTTTCTTTACCTTGAAATAATGCTCTGAAAAATGCATCTTGTAATTCATGTCTCATTTGAAATACACTTTCCACTTTAAGGACATCTGCTTTCACAGCTGGATTCAACATGAATGGATAATCACAGAATGAGAAACTAACAAAATCACTCAGTTCCAGCAATACAAGCAACGCGTCATTTACCCTTTCTTGTCTTTGAAATTAGGAAAATCTTCTTTGATTTCTAGTTGATCATTAACAGCCTCATTATAAAACTCAGTATAAGATACATACTTCTTGTGCTCATTCAGTCGATCTATCAGAAATGAGTCCAATGTACCCCCATGCACAACTTACACAAGATGGCGATGCATTTTGTAGCATCAATTAAGGCAGTGTCTGAATTGGGATGACCACTCAAAGCTAATCGTTTACTCACAAATTGTTGAAAGATGTCCAATATGGCTTTAAATTGTTGTTGTTCTGTTGTGTATGGATAGCAAGGTTCAATCAGATAGTGAAAGAATTGATCTTGATCTTGTTCATTCAGACTGGCTAACATATCACAGATATCAGACATGAAGCAAACATCAAAGTCATCCAAAGGACACTAACATCATAAGTTTCAGCATAGAACTCAATGATAGTCTACCTGAAATAAGATCAATAGGATGTTCATTTGGCTTAATGCTATAGGTTCTTTTTTGTTTCGAACAAGTCCATTCAAGGTTCTCTTGGCATGTTCTTTAACAGTCATCATAATCAAGCTTGGACACTAGGATGCATAAGAGAAAGATCATTATTTTTTTGATTACCTCTTGCAATAGTTCAAATGCTTCTTTTGTTTGTGTCTTGTCAATAGGACACAATGAATGCTTCTATCATCTCATCAGTATCATTCCGTTTTTACTGATTTTACTTTTAAGAAACTCTGATTAATCAAGTCCAAATGACCAAACACGCGTGCTAGTTTTTCTACTAGTTTTGTCCACTCATTTAGTAATTCAGCTTCTCTTTTCAAACTTTTGATTAAATTCAAGTCAAGGTGTTCTGTATCTACTTGAGTACATATACATATAGTGTATACTTTGAACATTACCTAGTGTGTTCATCGTCTTTAAGGAGAGAGAGAAAAAGCAAGAATAACTCAGCTCAACACGTCCATTATTTTTTTTTCTTTCTCCCTTTTTTTTATTTATGTCTCGTATTGACGCTTATTTTAGCAAAAGAAAGTCAAGAGCCAATACACACCTTGAGAGCAATGGAGGTCGTGTAGTCCAAGCTCCTGAACCTGTATATGACCTTGTTAAAAAGCCATCTGACACTACTCAAAAGACAGTCAAGAAGAACAGTATCTTGTACTATCTTTCCAAGCAGGCAGAACAACCTGTCCTTTGTCAAATTCGATCCAATATTCCATTGACGGATATTTGGCATACTGTTCTTGAAGAGTTTGATGCTCCGCTTCCATTGTCTGATACCATTCTAAGCCGAAAGAGACTTGCTCAAGAAGACTATGGTCGAGTAAGTCACATTGTATAAATGATAACTCATTGATCAACCTATACCGTAGAATGTGCGTATCCGTACACAAGCGGATGTATTCACATTATGCATGGAAGACTATGCAACAGAAGACAAGGAAGACCTTTCACGACCTATTCGTACAAGACATTCATTCGAAGCCACTCATTTATATTTATTAGCTGTAACAAACGAATTTTCAAGTGTATGGCAATAAAAAAAAAAAAAATAACAATTAAGCATATTCTAATGCCAAAACAAACTCATTTCCCCAAGGAATGTGGAATCCTGGGATCGTCTTTTCAAAGCAAACAAAAGGAAGACCCATATCTGCCACAAACAATTCACCCGTCACATTTCTAGAAGTGCAGCCAGTGTAAGGAGCACCAAGACATAATGTCCATTTAGGATGGATATGGATATCAGACGCAAGACCATCATTTGGATTGACACCACTTGGGAATTCAATGCTCAAGATGGGAGCCTTGTTCTGATTGGCCCAGTTCATTTGCTTTTTGATAGCAGGTGTGATCTTTAACATGTCAGAACCGAGTAAGGCATCCACAATGATATCCACAGGTGTAGTGTATGGGTCAGGCAATTCTAACACAATAAGCCGAGTGTCTCCATCAAGGTACTTACCTTCCATGGCGTACAGAATACGCGCGCCAGAGAATTTAGCCAGTTGTTTGGATTGTGCCACCGAGGCACCACAATAGACATCTTCTGTCATACTGATCATCACTTGACAACCACGATTGGCTAAATGACGCGCTGCAGCAATCCCAAATTCACCCATCGACGTAGGCCCTGCCAAAATAACCACCACAGGAGCCGCATTATGATTATCGGGCTGAATGCGACGATGACCCCCAATGGCCTTGAGGACCATCATGCTGATCCCAAAGGCACCATTCTCGACTAACTGAGTCTGTGTGAGTCCTGTTTCTCTTGCCATCGATTTTGCAATGTCCATTTGGTTTGAATTGACAGCAGGAATGGGTATGCCACCCGACACAGTCAAGATACGTGTCTTGGGTGGTGTATGGCTTTGTTTGACACGAGGAGGAATAAGCGAAGTAGGAATCGATGGCTTAAGAGGCTCCAGTGATTCTACTTTGCTAGTAGGTTTTTTGGGCTTGGTCTTTTTGTCTTGTTTCTTGACAGAACCGTTTTTGCCTTTTTCAAAATCGGAATAGTCTTCAAACACAACCACTTCTTTGACAGATCGGTTGGTTTTCTTGCCTCCAAAAAGGGGTTGTGTGCGAGGAGGTGGAGAAGATGTGACCTAGAAAACAAATGAGAACACAAATAAAGGTTAAGAGAATGGCTTACACTGATAATAGCAGGATCTTGAAATGATTGTTGTTGTTGTTGAAATAATAAAGAAGGATCCAATGGTTTTAAAGTAGGTTGAGATTGAAACAATTGTTGCACCATAGGATGGTGACTTCTTTGCAATGGTGAATTCAGGTGGGATTGACTACTGAACATCACAGCAGGATCCATGGATGATAGCTGATGATCAGGTGATGATACAATAGCAGGGTCCCTGGGAAGTAAAGGACTTGCTTGTGGAGGATATTGGTGATAAATAATGGCAGGATCAGCATGCATAGGAAATGAAGATGCTGCTGTTAGTTGTGGTGGTGGTGTTGGTAGTACAGTTTCCTTTTCTTTGGTATCATTTAATTCAAGTACTTCCAAATCTTTAATGGTAGTTGTATCAATAGACATCAACGCTTCTTTTTTATCTTGAGAACCTTCCCTATGGGCTTATTGAATTGGATAAATAAAATAATATGCTTTCTTTAAGTTACCGTTTTTTAACAAAAGGTGTCCTTGTGGGTCTTTGCCATTGATATAACCCTTGATAATATCCTTATTACGAAGTATGATTTTTACATAAACACCTTGATATCTATCCATTTGTCTATAATACGCGTTTATAAGAAAAAAAGAAAAAAAAAAGAGAGAAATGTTTGTGACGGACATAGATTGATTGGCTGTCATTCAAACGGATATCAGCAGGACAGGAATGAAATCGTTTTTTGTACTCTTTTATGTCTCTTTTCGACGACTTTCTCGAGTCAACTAACCCAAAGGACACTGTAGAATCACGTCCTCAAATCAACACCAAGGTAAGATACAGTATCTAGTCTAAACTAACATAGAACCAGAGAGATACAGGCTATGTCACCACACTCAACACACAGGACGACCCTTTATTCTGTTTACAATATGTTCAATTTCAGTTACCAGCAAACCTTGTTTCGATGATGGTCGAGAATAACATATTGGCTGCTGTATTGGATAATTTTCGTATTTTGCGTATTGATCTCGATCATCCACTTGATGTTGATGGTAATGATGAGCAACTATTCATACAGTCACTGATTGTTTTGTTTAGTGGTGGATATCAGTCGAAAGAATACATCCAGCCAAGTCAGTCAACTCTTTCTTGACCCTACAGGACGACATATCATTGTGACAACAGACAATGGCGACAACTACTATCTTTTTCATACCTGGAGACGTACCAAAGAACTCACGAAACTCAAACAAAAGATCATTTGTGTTGCATGGAACAAATACGCGCATGCCAACCACACACGGGAAATCTTGATTGGCACACAGGAGGGTACTGTATTCGAAACATGGTTGGAACCCAAAGACGAATTCTTTCGAAAAGAAGAAAAGTATCTTGTTCAAGTATTTCAGGCACCTATGCCCATCACTGGTATTCATGTCGAACGATTCCCCACCAACAAAAAAAAATACCTTGTGATGATATCGACATCCACTCGTCTCTACCATTGTGTAGGATCTACTTGGATCGAAGAAGAAGAAGACAAAGCCACATTTGAGCGAATGTTGGCAGAGTATCAACAGAATCCTGAATTTCAAGAATTACCAAGTAATCAAGAGGACAGCAAGATTGTCTTTTTCAATCGATTTCCAGAATTACAATTGACCGGTGTACCACAGACATTTGTGTGGTTGACAGGTGCTGGTATTTTCCATGGTTATTTGGATTTCACTGAGAAAAACAACCGTCTGATGGACAGTGCTCGTCTATTGCCGTTTCCACCCACTCGTTATGATGAGGATAATGATTGTTTGATAGCAGATACACCTATTTCGATATTAGTGACTGAGTTTCATTTTATCTTGCTGTATCCATCCTTTGTGCGTGCCTTGTGTCGATTGAACCAAAAGATGGTCTATGAAGAACCGATTGTTCTAAACCAAGGCGAAGTCGTACAAGACATGGTTGTTGATAATATCAAAAGAACCTATTGGATCTATACAACCCATGCCATGTACGAACTTGTGATAAAAGATGAAGATAGAGATGTGTGGAAACTGTATTTACAACAAAAAGAGTATGCGACAGCACTCCAGTACTGTAAAGAACCATCTCAGCGCACCCAAGTCTATACAGCACAGGCCCATGATGATTTTGAACAAGGCAGATATATGCAGAGTGCAAAATACTATGCCAAAAGTTCGGTTTCGTTTGAACAAGTCACACTCAAGTTTACTCAAAAGAAAGAGAGGGATGCATTACGGTTCTTTTTGCTCAGTCGACTTGAGCAACTGGGTCCTAATGACCGTACACAAAAGACATTGATTGCCACATGGCTAGTGGAACTTTATCTGTCTAAAATGAACCAATTGGAAGACATGGCAGCCTCTGTTCATGTCAATACAGCACATCGCTCTTTTCGTTTGAAAGAAGACCAACATAACTTGAAAGATGAATTTCGTACTTTTCTAGAGACGTATGGGACTCATCTCCATACCCCTACTACTTACCAGCTCATCTCAAGTCATGGCTATGGTTCAGAATGGCTATATTATGCGTATTTGATAGGGGATCATGAAAAAGTAATCGATCATTGGATCTCTCAAGACAATTGGGATAAAGTCATGGAAACACTGCATGACAGAGTAAGTAACAAAAGACACACATAGGTTACTCATAGAGAAATAGAATGAATTGATTTATAAATTCAGTATACCTTTAATTGAACATTTGCCTGAAAGAACAGTCAATATGTGGATCAGCCATCCCAAGTTAAACCCAAGATACCTTATCCCAGCCATTTTACACTATCATCACACTCATCGAAACAACAGAGTGTCTGAGGCAAGTCATCAATAATTCACACTGTTTTTTTATCTTAACTCTCCTCCCTCCTTTAGAATCAAGCCATTCGTTATCTTTCTTATGTGGTCTCTGTCTTTAAAAATACAGATCCTATTGTTCACGACTTTCTGCTTACTTTATATGCAACACAACCCACATCTGATGAAACAGCCTTATTGACCTTTTTAAAGAATGAGGTAAACAAGAACCTATCAATTCTCTCTGTTTGACAAAAAAGGGGGTGCGGGGCTATAGGGTCGAGATATGCATTATAAACTAGACTATGCTTTAAGAATCTGTAGTCAACATCATCGTACCCAGAGTTGTGTTCATATCTATAGTCAAATGGGATTGTATGAAGAAGCTGTTGATTTGGCTCTTAAAGTAAGTATCTATCATTGAACTCAACTTAACCTAGTCTATAGCATCGCAACTTGGATCTTGCTCGAACCAATGCAGATAAACCCGAAGACGAGGACGGATTACGTAAGCGTCTATGGATCAGTATAGCTAAATACGTAATTCAAGATAACAAAGATATCAAATCGTAAGTAGATTCAAACCCACTTTCTTATTACTTATCGGATTCTATAGGGCTATGCAGTTTTTAAAGAAATGCGACTTGTTAAAGATGGAAGACATTTTACCTTTTTTCCCTGATTTCGTACTGATAGATGACTTTAAAGACGAGATATGTTCAGCATTAGACGAATATAATATTGGGATTGAAGAATTAAAAGCTGAGATGGACAATGCTACTTCCAGTGCTGAACACATTCGCCTGGATGTTCGCAAACTGAAGAAAAGGTAACATACCATCCTTTGGACAATCAGACTGAATATGCTCTAGATTTGCTATTGTAGAAGAAGACCAGACATGTTGTCTATGTGAATATCCACTCTTGACACGACAATTCTATGTGTTTCCATGCAACCACCAATACCATGCTGATTGTCTAGGAAACAGAATCACAAAATACTTACCTACACGACAAATACGAAGATTGGCTGATATTCAAGAACAGCTTTCGCATGAATACAAAGCAGCACGTACTATACAGACGCTTGAAGATGAAAAAGCACTGACAGAGCGTATTGAACACTTGCGTATTCAGTTAGATGATACTATTGCTAATCAATGTGTCTTTTGTGGTGATGTCATGATCCAATCCATTACGACACCCTTCTATGACAAGATGGAAGCTGATAGTTGGGCTATTTGATGTATTTGTTTATTTTTAATGAAGCATTGCATGAATTTCATCTGTCAGACAAAAAAAAATTTTTTTTCTTTTCTTTTTCTTCATGTCTTTTTTATTTCGCTCTACTCCACACTATTTACCAAAACAGACGCGATCCCTTTGGACAAAAATAACAGCAACAGGATCTTCAATTGAGGAATGTGTTCAAGTCTCGATCGAGTCACTTAAACAGAAACAACCTGATGTGTGTGTTGTCCTTGCCTCAAAGTCTTTTTCTCTTAAACACTATCGCCAACTCTCAGCTGAACTTAACAAGCGACTTAAGCCTACTGTCTTACTCGGTGGTGTTGTGGACCGCATTCCTCAGGTAGACCATGGTATTTCACTTTTATTAGGGTTTGATGAAAAAATCGTGCCTTTTACGATCAAAGACAGCCCGCATCGACACAAAATTCGCAGTACCTCCGTGGGTCGATGGGGTCGTATGGAAGAGCGAGAAAGACTTCAGACCCAAAGTGACCACATTGATAAAGTAGGATGGGAGAACTTTGGGTCGATCAGTACGCCTGTTCAAACGCATACGTTGCCACCAGGCATCGTGGACAAGCCTTCGTTTGTCTTGAGTGTGTCTGATAATGAGCCGGATGAACTCTTACAGGCTTTGGATCATCATTTTCCTGATGTGCCCAAGGTAGGTATCTTGGGTAGCTCAACGCCGTTTGTGACAGGTGAGCCGTATGCCTTGTTTCATTCAACCGGGATCATGGGTTCAGGCATCGTTGGGTTTGCTTCTTATGGCTCTACTGGGCACATCCAAGTGGAGCATACGGCCATGCAGAAATTAGGTGAGCCTATCAAAATCACACGCTGTCGAGGCAATATCATCCTTGATTTGGATGAAGCAGGTGCTACTGGTTTATTGCTCAAGTTGATCCATAGTGGAAACAAGATATCCAAAGACGAAGAATTCTATTTAGGTATTTATCCTCTAGGTGATTCATCAGAGGAAAATGTGACAGTCAGTCGCATCACCAGTGGTGATCCTAGTCGAGGTAACATGTCTGTGGATACAACAGCGGATCTTCAAGTGGGCCAAACTGTTCAGGTAAGCTCTCATAGGTTTCTATTCAACTTTCATCAGACACTTTTTGTTAGTTTATGAGAAAGAAGCCATTGACCTCTGAAAATGTCTCGAGTGATCCCATCGGGAAAGACAAGATCGTGTTTGGTGTCAGTAGTAAGGACTATACGATCGATAGTTCTCCTGTACAGATTCCAGACGAAGCCAGCGTCCTTCCTGATGTGTTTGGTGGTGTCTCTGAAAACGGGGTAGTTGTCGGTCGAAGTAACATACCTTCTGAAGTATTAGATGTGCCATTCTCAAAAGTAATGTTTAGCTTAAAATAAAAGGTGTATATTACAGTCTATCATGCTTTATTTCTTATTGTTGTTCTTTTTCTTTTTCTTTGTCGTAGGACCTTCCATCATTGTGGAAGCACTGGCAATAGCAAATTCGCTAGCATGATCAAAGTTTCTTTTAAGAGGATTGTTATTGTTCTTTCTAGGACCTGTAGGCTTCTCTTTGCCTTCAAACTTTTTAAGACCAGGCATACGTTCATTTCTTGCTTCCTTCTTCTTTTTGCCTTTAGATTTCTCATGAATATTAGAGGGCGCTTCTCTTAAAGCAAACGATTTAGCTAAGTGACCTAAATGAAGTCGCTTAACATGGAAAATATGTTTTTCAGAGGCAGGATGTGTGGCATAAGCACGACATGTAGACCAGAATGCTTTACGGGCCAATTCAATATGCTATGAGGATCATGTTAGTTCAATAGAGAGTAAGTGTATGACTTACGCTTTCGTCAGATAGGACGTAATTTTCCATGGTATTTTGTAGCTCTTGAGCAGGCATCTGATAATCACCTTGATTAGCAAGGTGTTTGAGAATTGTCTCCATTGAGATTGGATCAGGTAGTAAATCTTGAGCCTTGAGAATATCAAGATATTCCATTTCGCTGGGTAACAAGAACAAAGTAGCCTCACCAGCTTTACCAAGACGAGCAGTACGACCTACACGATGCACATAATCCTTCAGATCTGTAGGGACATCATATTGCACAATACGATCTACATTGGGTAAATCCAAACCACGAGCAGCAACATCTGTACAGAACAAAACACCTGCCTTGGCTTTGCTGAATTCAGCAAATGTCTGAGAACGCACTTGTTGATTCAAGTCACCGTGAAGACGGAAGACGAGCTTGTCTAACAACAATGTACTGATTTGGCTCACAGGCTCTGGTTCTTTGCTTTTTTCCTCTGTCTTTTTGTTCTTTCTAACCGCTTTCTGCTTTCCAACAATCTTGCTAAGTGCATTCTTCATGATTTTAGATTCATCCTGTTCGTCATCATCCGAGTCTTCATCAAGAATAGGTTTGCCTGCATTGGAAAACAGATCATAATGAAAATCAACCGAGTCACAACAAGAGAAAAAGACAATGACTTTACTGTTTAGACTCTTTCTTTGTTGTCTATCATAAAAGCAGGATCGAAGTAAAGCGAGCAAGGTAATCAAGCGCAATTTAGCAGGTATAATGATATGCGTTTGCTTCAACTGATTAGGTGTACTGAATTTCATCTCTTCATCCTCATTTCTTTCAAACATCTTGGAAGCATCTTGCTTAGCATCTGTACCACTGACAAAGGCAGGTTTGACGAGAGACCAGCCCGCCAATTCTTTTACGTCGTCTCTTAATGTAGCTGAACATAGCACAGTCTGTCTTTTCGTGGGCCAATACTTATTACCCATCAACTGCTTGAATTTACTTGATCCTTCTGATTTGGTACGCTGATCAATGATGCTCATGATCTTCTTGAGCGATTCTTCAAAACCCAAATCCAACAATCGATCTGCTTCATCCAACACAAGCCATTTAAGATGGCTAATATCAAAACTCTTGGTGTTTTCTAAATGATCTAAAAGACGACCCGGTGTGCTGACAAGTACATTGATGCCTTTTCTCAGTCGTGCCTTTTCTTTTGCTTTTGAATCACCACCAATGACAATACCAGGCACAATCCAATGCAGTCGACGCAAGTTTTCATCCTTAGGACGAGGTAAGTTGACAAGTGTTGTCAAGACACCCAATACTTGTTGAGCTAATTCTCGAGTAGGTGTTAAAATAATGGCCACAGTGCCAACTGTACGATCGCCAAATGGCTGTTCTTGTTGTTTTATAGCATCTTTAGGTGCTGTCGATGCAGCAATCAAACGATTGACGATAGGTAGTAAATAAGTTAATGTTTTACCAGAGCCTGTTTGTGCTTGTACAACAACATCAACGTCTTCTTTATGCTGGTTAGAAGCAGGACCTAAAAGAATAGGAATCGCCTTAGCTTGTACATTTGTAGGTGTTGTCACATTTAATTTGTTGCTCAAGTGTTCAGCAAGATCGGATTCAATACCAATACCAGTAAACGAACTGGCATCAACCATAGGTGCATTACTTGCAGAACCTTCTTTATGACTTGATTTTTTCTGAAAACTAGTAGGAATACGAGGATTTGAAGAAAAAAGCGAGGATACAATCTGTGCTTTTCCATGAAGTACTTTGGTACCAGGCGCAAGACCAGTAGCAGGTGCAGATTCAGTTGATTCGGCCGTCTCGGCTGTTTCGACATAATTTGCCTTTTCTACAGGTCTATTTTGTACTGGATTGCGTGTAACTGGTTTTTTGACTGACTTGGGTGCTAAAGTACCAAAGTTTAACAAAATACCGTCGTCTTCCATAGTGAATCTAGAAAAGATCGTTGCGATGTCGAAAATGAAAACTTTTTTCTCTTTTTGAATGATGCTGACGGAGACTGGAAATATTGAATGCCAGCAATGCTGTTTCTTTTTGATGTGCAGTACAGGCTTTTACTTTGGAGCCACAGACTTATAGGATAGTAAGCAAAGAGATAGAGGATACATTCCCATTACGTTATTTAATTTGCTCTTTCTTTTTGGGGTTGTCTTAGAGACTGCAGAGGCTAGTAAAGAGTTTGTATCAAAAATGTTATTTTTATTTTATAAATAGTACGATATGCAAAGTCAATAAAATCAAAGCTTTCAGTATTGCTTTACAGTTAGAAACAACCCGCTTAAATACGTGGTGGCTAAGGAAAAGAGAAATGTTCGCTTATTACTAAATGCTCAGAGACACGCTCCTCATAGCAGCAAAGGCTGCTTTGCAGCGGCCCCGACTGCTACTCCTTCGTGTTATACTGTCGGCACATGTGGCCAAACAGAGAGTCACCTCTGCTCTACCTCAACCCATGCTAGGTCTCCGTGTACCCTAGTCCTCCATGCCGGTAGGAAACAGGTTCTGAACATTTGGTAAAGAGAAACAGGAAATTTTCAAGTGAATACTTAGTACATGGATTATTTGCACCAACTACGAACTCCGACTACCAAAAATATGACATCAGTCTGGCATTAAAATCAAAAGAAAATCAGGAACACTCGCAACAAAATGTATGCTGAATTCAATCTTCAGTTTGCAATTGGTAAGAAGTCGGAATTAAAAGAGGATTTGAAGGGAGCTATTTTGGCTTCTGGAAAAAAAATCCAATGTTGTTTTCTCTGTTAAGGACTCTCACCCCAAGAAAGGAGAGTGCCACTACATTTGTAAGCATGGAGGCTTCAAGCGTATCAGAGATGATGAAACTGATGAATCTACCTTAATTGATCTCGATACTGGAGAAGAAATTGAGGTCATCGACACTATGATTGAATCTGATCTAATTGAAGAAGCACCAACCAAGATTGTTGCAAAGATAATTACAAGAAAAGTACTCAAAGGTTCGCATGTGCTGCTTTTGTCAAGATATTTAACTTAACTATTAAGAGTAGCAATGCTGTGCATAGTCATCCAATCTCGCAAGGTGATATCACCTATGCAATCCATCGCAGACAAAACCCTGAAGTTATGGAGCAAATTTATTCTATCTTGGGCGATTATCATAGAGATTCTGTCTCTAACGTTATGGAGGTAACTTATCAGGCATGAAGAATAAAATATAAGCTCTAATCGTACTCTAGATAGACTATGAAAGTATCAGGTATTAGCAATATCGTAAAGAGAGATGTTCAAAACATCCAAACCTTATTGCTCAAGCATCAAGATGGAAAAGGAATGTACTCATTGATTACTCAAATGGAATATCTTAAGTGTGTTGTTTGAATTCAAGTCAACTCAAATCACGAAGTCTATGATTTCTTTTTTTTTTTATCAATGAAGCAGTCATTAAGGAAACCAGAAGATAGCCTGAAGCCCTGACAATTGATGGCACCTATAGGACGAACGGACGCAAGATAACTTTGGTCAACATTGTTGGTACTAGCAATGTTATATCTGTCAAGGGTAGCAACAAACTACACAATTTTGCTGTGGCTGTTGCCTTTGTAAAGCCTGAAACTGAGACAGTTTACACCTGGATTTTGGAAGAACTACTCTTTTGCGCATTTTCCCATTTCTATTACGTTGAATGTAGCCGAACTCCAAAGGGAAAGTTCAGAAAATTGAACATCCCAATACTCAATATGGATCATAAACGCCTGAGAGTCTCATTCCCTAGCTTATGTATCTCAAAGGACTATTTGATTACGTTCTAGTCTATGTATTTTTATGAAAACCTATAGGAATCTTTAATAAACTATGTCCGACTGTGTTTCCTTAGATCCGTTAATTCATGCAAGTAAAATTGAATTCCAGAAGATAAAACCACAGACTTTTCAAAATGCGTCGAAATTCTTAGTCTGTGTACCAGGTATTCACCAGTTTTTATGAACAATTCTATTCAAACACCGACAATCACGTGGGATTTTTGATATACTAGTTTTGAACGACATAAAAAGAGGAACCTTTTGTGCACTTTTCTTTTATCTTTCTTGATGGATTTCATATTAAAGTATCACAGTAAAAAACCTTTCTCAATAAGCGAATTCTTCAAACACATCTTTATCAAGAACAGAGAAGAAGCTGAAAGTCACTTTAAAAGCTTAATTGAAACATGCGCGCGTTTTGAATACAATAAAAAAAACTGCTCAGTGATAAAGTTTGCTTATGAAATTAAAGACAAGAAATATCAGGTAAGTTCCTTTTAAATTGTATGAAATGAGATACATCATATCACGATAGATACTCAATTCAGAGGAAGCAAACAGTTATTGGAAGGAAGAAGAAATCAAAACGATAAAGAAAACAATAGCGCAAGATACATTATTGCTATCATTGCCAAGAAAAGAATACTTGTTGAAAGAAGCTAACAAACGTACTTTTGAACCTGTAACTACACTATCTTCAGTTAAAACAAAAAGTGTAACTTATGCAATATTTTCTATAGGAAGATGAAATTGTAGGTTAAAACTCCATTTATGCCTTATTCATGTTTGGAATTTTTCTTAGGATGTTTTCTTTAACTCCACTAATGAGAAAGAAAAACATGATATTAATGCCAATTCGAGTTCTTCACACAATGAAGATATAGCAGTATCTCTTGATATTACAGAAGAATTATCGCCAAATGTAATGCCTGAATCCCCAACCATAAGAGCATCCTTAGCGGACTTTTCATCAGACTTTCTAAAATTTATACTTTTTTTCAGAAAAAAATGATTTGGAAAGTCTGTTTTTTTAGTGGACTTTCTAAAATAAAATTTTGAAAAGTCTACCGAAAACTTTTTATTTTAGATAGTTTTGGAGGAAATTTTTATTTTTTTTCATTTTAGAAAGTCTGATGGAAAGTCCGCTAAAAAATGTTTGACCTATCTAAAATAAAAAACTTTTCATTTTGGAAAGTCCGCTAAGGATGCTCTAACCAACATACTGAAGGTAAGTACATTTCTTTCTTACTTTGAATATACAGTAATTCATATAAAAATGAATTAGGAAAATAGAAAAAAGGTTCATGCACTAGATAAACATAAAAAAATCTAATTAGTTTCTAAAGAGAAAATTGAATTATTTGCGAGGAAGAACTACAGAGCTTGAAGTATTTGTCAATCCTATTGAAGTAATTATTATTCTCTAGTGGATCTACAATCTAACTTTATTTTTAGTGGATTATTGAACAAACAAACATCTCCGATGTACTGAAAAGCTTTCGACAATCATCGGTAGTACGGGCCCAAGAAGACGCTGAATTGAACACTACACAACAACTGTAAGTACTTATAGTAAACCATACAACTGTACTGAAAAAGACAGGTCATTGAATTCCATTTTCTATATACATAATGAAATGGATTACTTGATTGAAGAAGGTATACAACAAAAGATGATTGATCAAATTAAGCGAAAATATGCAAAAAGAGAGATAAAAGAAATTGAAGAATTTCAATTGAAAAACTTACGAGCATTGTATGAGGTACTGTTTAAAGTTTTTTGTTTAATATTAATTATGTTGACTTATACACAATAGCTTGCAATGGAAGACATCAAGACTGCGTTAAAAAAAACAGCTATCCTTTTCGGTGTCACAACGAACGAGAGTGAAAAAATGGTTGGAGCATTATTGGATATGTAAGAACTATAATAGTCTATGTGTAAATTTTTAAGTTGTTTAGAATGAAATCAATTGAGGTCGATCATCAAGAGTACGAAGACGTGTTGATAAAAAGTAGAATTCAGCCAATCTTAAACCATTTCCTTACAATCGACAAAAATCGAGAATTATGTGGGTATGTATTTTATGATAATTTGTTTTCCTTACTGTTTATGTGTGTTGGGAATAGAAATGCAGAAAAAAGTCAAGGAAGTAAACAAAGACGTAAAAGAGGTCGAATTCCCGATGCTTCGTACAAAGTGAAATATAATGATTATAAGCAACAAATTGTAATAGCCGAAGTCAAGACAAAAGAATACAACAATGCCGTGAAGCATCCTGACTTTATCAAGATAGCCAACATGATGAAAGACGAAATCGACTATATGATAAACACAAACTGTCCTCATGATTTACCTGTGTTTGGACTACTTGTGAGTGGTAAGTAGTGTCTTTTGCCAAAAAGAAAGCATTCCATAAGTCAAAATAGGTCGATTTGTTTATATATTGGGAATGGATTTGATGTATTCAGGCGTGTATCGTTTGTTTGATATTGGTCGGTGTGTTCTTCCTACTTGTATTGAGGATTTGTGTGTTCTTGACAACACGTTCAAGGTTATGTATCATTTAGAGGTAAATTGAAAACTATTCCTTCATTTTTCAACGTTAATCAATCACATGTAATTTAGAACTTGGTTCATCGTACTTGCAGTATTTTACTCCAGTTTTTTAAATCTGACAAAGTGCTACTCAAGTCTACAGACAGAAGCAAACTCGTTGTAAAATCATTCTCTACGCCCAAGAGGCAATAATAACAATAACCGTAATACTGTTTTTACACCAAATTCAGACGATGCTAGTTTTTTTCTGGACGAATCAAAATTAAATTTCCAGATGTTTTTCTTGCCTATTTTGGACGAAATAAAGTGGGAAATTAGACAGAAAAAGAATTAGCTTTTTGGATGAATGAGAGTTTACATTTAGACATTTATCTGTAAAGGGAAATCAATGATTAGAGAAGCAATATAAAAATGACTGGTTATTGTGGTGTTTTGGGACTTTTTAAATAAAAAAAAATAAAGAGACGTGTAGGAAGTACTTTGAGACCGTTTATAAATGTTTATTAAGGTAAAAGTTCGAGAAAGATTTTTTATATTCTAGGTTTATATATGATTGGATTATGTCCTTAGATGTAACCTGAGATAGGACTTGATGAGCTGAAGGTTATATTAGATGGAATAAGAGTATTGGCTTTTTCAATAAAATATACTTTGCGAACCATCTTTACAGTTATTTATCATTCATAGATGAAATCTGTTTACTGGTTCCTGGATTATATGACTCTATTCCGTAGGAGTGTAAATGTTAATTCAGCTATATCATTGTTTAGAATGAACTCAGTTCTATTGCTATCAAACTATGACTAGCTGGCATAATAATAATAATAATAATAATAATAATAATAATAATAATAATAATAATAATAATAATAATAATAATAATATATGACAAATGTTCTTGTTATGAGAAAAGATTTATTTGTGATAATATACTTTTATTTATTTAAAGTTATTTATACCAGATCATTAACAATAGTTAGATCGACTTGTCTGTTATAATGTTTTTTTAACGAGGTTCATCTTATTTAAAGAAAAGTTGAGTTCTCCATCTGCTCCAACCCTTAGCAATAGGTCTGGCTCGTTTTTAAACGACAAAATGCGGACAACAACTCTTGGTATGGATAGGAGCGGCTGATATAATGAGTTTCAAAAAATGCTGTCAACACCCGTGTCAATGAGATGGGACAGTTTGATTTTTATGAGCTTTCCTTTTTCTTTATTTTGATATATCAAATCTATCATGCATCGTACAACTATATTCCAAAAAAAAACAATTAGTTTATACAAATCGAATAGAAAAAACGAATCTGAAGGTATGCAAGTAGCTTTTCGTGCAGTAAAAGTCTAACTGACAATATCATTCGATTTAGATGCAACATGTTTGGACTGTGGTAAAAAAGGCCACTGGTCAAAAAAAAATCTACAAATGTCAATTATATACACAAGAAACTGGCCACGAAGGTATGATCATTAAGTGTTCAATTGATATGGCCATATTGGTCACTAAACCTATCTAATAGTTGGTACCAGAAAAAGAAAGAGAAAGCAGCCTGAAATACTGAAAAAATAAAAAGAGCAGCAAAAAGTCAAAGGAATCAAGCTGAAGTTAATCCGGGGGTAATATGCAAGAAGTGTGAACTTCCCGGTCACTCTTCTGCTCATTTTACATTACGAGTAAGTCAAATACTATGCTTCAGAATCTTGGGCCAAATTACACTTTTTACGCTCGTAAATTACCTTTTCAAAATTGTGTCAAGGAAGAATATTAAAACATATTGAAGCAGAAAATAACCTCGTGTTGTAGCGCTGTAAGAGAGATAGTGTTTAGAGCCAAACTTTTTGTGAACTGGTATCTTTCAAAAACCCCAAATGAATCCGTACCTGATGGTGTCTTTCGGCAACAGTTTTGGTATCCTGTTTGTCAACTGGTGAACAATAGAGAACTTAAAAACACCAAGCTTCTGCCACAAATGTTTTTACAAGAATGGGATAACTTCAAAGCTGGAAATCCTAATGCCACTTTTAATGAAGACTTGATTGGAGGAGCTAGCCAGTGCATCGCCGAGGCCTGCAAGGAGCTGGCAACCACCTACGAGAATGCAGTTGTAGAAAGACTTGAAAATATATTGAGAAGATTTTTGCAATATCAAATTCAAATTATGTTTGTTGTAAGAGCTAATAATCACATCCATTTACTCTAAATACTTAAATATTATGTATATAGTCCATGGCTCCGAAGGACGTCGATGACATTGTTATAAAATATGGATATCAATATGTATGCCAAGGTGAAGCGGTGTGGCCTGAACAGAAATCATTTGAAGACCCTATGATCAAACGAAGAATCGATGAACTATGCCTGCCACTTAAAAGCAAACTCGATGCTAGAGTTAGTATAAAATCATTAGCTGATAAACCTGGCTTTTTTGTTCCTCAGTTGTTTCATATACTGGCTGTCTTTGAAAGAGAACATCAATCCCATAAAGCGTTTGACGTTAGAAGACTTCCTTTACCAAGGCTGTTCAATGTATTCTCTTCACCATCATGCCATTGGCGATCAGTGACAGTTTCGATCAATGCATTAGTAGCATTTCTTCCTGGCAAACCACTCCCTAGAGGGTATAATGATCAGCTGCATTTATTCTACAAGGTATTTGATTTTAAACCGCCTAGAATCAAATCGTAAGTACATAGTAGTAAAAAATGTTTTTATATGATGGTCATTTAAGATATGTTTATTATTAGGATTGAATCTTTATTACCCACTGGAACAAACAAGAGGCTCTTTGGTAACCTAATCAGATCAGACGGTTTTTCTGTTGATTTTGTTTTTGACAAACGAACAATCACAGAAAAACGTTTAACCAAGCAAATCAATCAAGTTGATCTGATCCTGGATGCTTCTGAGCAGTATGAAGTTGACAGCCACTATTTATAAATAGCCGTAGATCCAGGAAGAAAAAGGGTCTTCACTGCATTTGCTGGTTCGAGTGGTAATATTAACGACTTCAGACAATGTTCCATCAAGGAATATTACCACTTGACAGGCTCTACAAAATTCTCAGCAGAGCAAGAGAGGAAAAAGAAAGCATGCGGTATTAAGACGATTGAAACAAATATACCTACCAATAAGACTGCCAATGAATCACTGTATATATGCTCGAAAACATTGGTCGTATTTTCAGTTTTTATAATCAAGAAACTGCAAAAGAAACCTTTTTCTTATACCAGGGTCGCCAACGAGCACCGGGGCGAATGGTGAAAATGTTGTTAGATGGTACCAAGAAATACAACAAGAAGTCAAAAGGAAATAAACGAAAAAGGGCAAAGAACAAAGGGAAGCGGAAGAAGAAGGGGAATAATTCCGGAAAGAAGGATAAAGAAAAGAGAAAAGTGACACCGAAAACAACAGAAACAAGGTAAAAAGTTACTTGGGCATGGCTACGATAATTTTTATATTCATAAGTTTATGGTACTTGGCGAAAGCAATTTCTTTCAGTACAAACAGAAGGTACCACTGATAGTATCTGGTAGTGGCATGTTTGGGAAGGACCATGTGAAGATGAAAATGGTCCGGACTGGTGTCACTGGTCTTTTATACAGAACGTTGAAAAGAAGAGAGAGGACTGGTGACTTACTCGTTGTGGACATTGATGAATATTTGACGTCCTAAATATGCTCCAAATGTGAAAGTAGAACTTTGGGTGGTTTAAGTGGTGCCCGCGGTAATAGTGTTCTCGTTTGCAAGACGTGCAGAACATTATGGCAGCGTGACATCAACGCTAGTTTGAATACGATGAACATTGCCAAGTCAATTTGGAAGGGTGAAGGCTATCCAGAACGATTCAAGAGAAATTAAAAAGAAAAGCAATAATCGCCGTAATGAACACAGTATTTCCTTCGGGAATTAAGATTGTTATAGGTAAAATCATCTAACATACTATTGTATCTTCTCTAATAATTCTTCTGTTTAATTTCCATTTTTATTTCGTCCAAAATAAGTAAGAAAAACATCTGGAAATTTAATTTTGATTCGTCCAGAAAAAAACTAACATCGTCTGAATTCAAAGTAGAAATATTGTAAAGGTCTTCGCTTACTGTTGAATAGACACAAAAACTCCGTTTCTCTTTTTAGTAACCATCAACCAAAGAAGGATTGCTTGCATAAAAAGACAATCATGTGATGAGAAAAAAAAGAAGAAAAAATGGGGTTTAGACCATAAATTTTACTTTCTTCTTATTTCTCTATTATCAATGGCAGACATTATACCAGGAGCGAATGGTATACCACCATTGCCTATTTCTTACTATGAAAACTTTCTTGAGAGTTTAGCTCGAATTGTTTCTAAACTCTTGACTGATCAAGAAACAGAAACAGTTATTTCGTCCATAAGATCATTTCAAGAACGACTGAAACGAGTGAGCAGGTAAAAAAAAAATGAAATAAAAAAAAACAGACATGGTTGATACACGCTATACTCTTAGTCAAAACTTGAGTCGTCTCAGCATGGAAATATCAGCAGCAGAAAATCCAAGTCCCGGCTTGTGTCGACACGAAGGCAAGACGTGTACACAGAATTGTACACGTGGATTCATCAAGACATTTACAGTTGCGTTTGCTGTAAAGTACCTCATTGGCGTCTTACCCACACTCTTGTCTGGCAAAATATTAAAGAGGTATAACTATAAATTCATGCTTACAAACTGACTTTGATATCATAGGCCGGGCGTTTTAAAGCAAATGGCCGGAAGGTAAAATAAAACAGAAGGTTAAATCACGAATATCGTTAACCTTCACACTAGAGATACAGCTTGTTTTGCCTTGTTTTTGAGTACCTTTATTAGTAGTTACAAAGGAATTTTGTGTGCTATGCGTCGTTATAGAAAGACAAAGGACAGGAAATCAGATAGATTAAATGCATTTGTAGCAGGCAGCTTGGCAGGTTTAGCTCTCGCTTTTGATCGTGACAAGCGTAGAAGGCAGTCTATCATGCTCTATTTGTTCACAAGAGCTCTCCAATTCAGTGGTGCATGGTTGATGAAACACTGGGCTATCAAGCGAAAAGAAAATCATCCAGGAGAAAAAAGATGGGACGATTGTTTTGCCGAGTTTATACAGCGATTTTCTGGTGTTGGTGTGATGATGTTGGCCAATGCTCAAATTATCTATGCCTTTTTATTTAACCATGATACTCTGCCTCGGTCATTCTTTGCCTTTTTATTGACTCATGCTAGCTTTAAAAAGTATTATGATGGAATGGCTGCTCGTATTGCAGAAGCTGTTGGTGTGACAGTACATCAATTGGTTGAAGATGGTATCTCTATCAAAGTGCCTGAAGGTGTCACTAGTCAAGACTTCATTTCTCAATATGTCAGTCCAAACATTGCTAGTTCAATTCATCCCAAACTACACCATAAATACATTATGTGTTCTATTCAACATCCCTTGACCTCTAGTTGCACCATAGACAAGTTTGGATTGTTTAAAGATGAATTCCTTCGATCACTCAAGCTCTATGTACCTTTGAATGTGGTAAGTACTATTTCTAATGTATGTTCCTCTGTTTAACTGGATACATAGATCATGTTGGCAGTATTTAGATCAAAGCAAATGAGAATAGAGTAAATGTACAGAAAACGGATAGAGAAAAAATAACTAATACTGAATTAGCCCTCAAACAGTTCTGCAAAAGTTTAGTATATCTTGTCTTCGGTCTGCCTTGTTTTTGACAATGTATGTTGTTATGGGCTTGTCTACTCCTTGTACACTTCGTCGAGTAACAGGCAGAGATGCTCCTTGGATCTATGCTGCAACAGGAGCAGTGGCTGGTAGTATGGTGGCCATTGAAGCACCTGGTCGTCAATTAGGTATGTCGCGATTTATTCCTTCTTTGACTAATACTATGAGGCAGAACTTGGTTTATATTGTCTTCCTAGAGCCTTAGAATCCTTCTGGAAGACATTGTTGAAGAGTGGCAAAGTCAGGAATATACCACATGGAGATATTTTGTTGTTCATGACCTCTATGGGAACCTTAATGACTTTGTATCAAAATGAGAAAGACACTATTAATTCTCATTATCTGAGTGTGATGACACGCTTTTTTGGTCAAAATTAAATTTTGAAAATAGAGGATAATAAAGGGGGAAAAACTTTGCTATTTTTTTTTTCTCACTGATTTTTTCTTTTCTTTTTCTTTTTATTGTATATAATATGCCTACAACAAGAGCAGCAGATAAAGGAACTACTTTAGATAAGGCAGCTCAACAAGAAAAGGCTCCTGCGCGTAAAAGAGGCAGACCTCCAAAAAAAGTCACTGCTGAACCCACAGCTGAAAATAAAGGAGAAAAGAACGAACAAGAAGTAGCAACTTTAAATGTATCTCAGAATGAAGAGGTAATATCTTATGAGTAGGGAATCTATCGTTTAATCTATACTGTAGCCTATAAAAAGAAAGCGCGGTCGACCTCGAAAGGTTCAGCCTGAAGAAGCCAAAGAAGAGAAAAAAGAAGCCAATCCACCAACTCCAAAGCGTGGTAGAGGCAGACCTAGAAAAGTAGATAGTAATTAGTTTCAAGACGTGAAGGCTTAATTTTTTTTTTATCGCTTAATGTATCTATCCATTCAAACAAACAAAAAAAAAGGGCTTCTCATACCGTCAATTGGTTACTTTACTGAAAAGTTTTTGAATTTAATTGGTTACATTTTTGAAAGCATTTTGGTCATTTTCTGCAAATCGATAAGTTGGCCAGGGCCACAACATTATTCTTCTTTCTACAATTTCAATCTTAACAATGGATTCTGAAATGCCTTCTTGTTCACGAAGAGGAAGAGAACGCATCTTTAGTGATAAAGGAAATGAAGCAACTCAATGTATTGAAGCAGCCTCGTTTTGTTTTAGAAAAATAACACTTCTTGAGAAGATGGTTGAAGATAATTTGCAATTAGTCGTCAATATGATTGAGATGAACCCCAAGAAAGAAAGAAAGAAAGAAAGAGGCTGAATACAATAAACAAACAACCAAAGATCCACAATTGTGTTTTTTTCCTTGAGATAGAAAGGTATGGTCCCACTTGACATACCTGCAGAAGTGACCTTACAAAACAAAATATTCTGAAAGAAGATTTGGGCTTGGGATTGATATCAAGGATCTATTTGCAGAACAAGCCATTGTTATAGAAGGTTAGAACATTTTGGGTTCTGCTGTAACGAGAATTGGATCTCAAATGGGAGAAGAATTAGAAATACTTGTTTATTGTTAGTTTAACTATTCTGTGCTGCACTCAACAACTCTACTAAGTTTGTGTATGTTAAACATATTTCGCAGGATGAATCATCAAACAATCCAATATATCATAGAAGAAGAGGTTGAAGACAAGTTTTATGTTTCAACTAGCTTTCTACAATACAAAGATATGTCTTTAATAACAAGCACTAGGATGCTACATCATGTCTTGCTACTCAAAGAAAAAGAAACCCCTTAAAGCTTGGTCAAATATTTTGGATTGGATAATTTGAACACTTGACTTCAGGATTTGCGAGATAAACATATTCAGAGAGATGCCAAGGTGACAACTTTGACTTTCAGCAAAGCAGTGAATGCATTACATGTAAGTCTATACTAAAAGATCCCTAGCACAAGACCTAAACAAAGACGTGTCCTGAAGGCGACGCAAAATAAGTAAGTGTAGAGAAAGACTCTTAAGACCTTTACTCAAACAATGACCAATAGTTCTAGTCCTTGTTTATGCAGCATAATGTACCCAAAAAGGACTCTTTAAGAGGGCACTACATCATCTAAACAAGAATCCTCTCCATGAAAATGGTTGATCAAATTATCCACCTAAATTTAATTCTAGTGCTAAGTATCTAATCAAGAAGACAACGAGTGGTTAAAGAAAAGGTGTGTTAGACGTCTGCCTTTAACGCTTCCAGCGAGTAGTTG